CTTCCCACACGTGCTAGGACCTGAAATTTAACAAAACAAGCACAACCTAGCGTAAAATAGGTCGAGGGACGGTGATCTACTACGCAAAACGAACAAAAAGTGAGTGCAAATTTATTCTTCAAAATCAAACACTAATAGTGTCTTGGATGACACTATTTGGAGGGTCATACCTCTTTCAAATACTAATACTAAGGCGACCATGTGTCATAAAGCTTACAATAAACTAATTTAATATAAAAATCACAATATTCAAGAAAATCGCAAACAATTAAGTGCAGTTTGTTGCATAATTTAATATCAATCATCTCATTTAAAAATAATAATAATTTATGAATAGTTATTATATTTTTTAAATGATTGACTTATTGTGAGTCAAACAAAATTTAAAAAAATTATTATTATTTATTTGAATCAATCACGATTAACATTTCGTGATAGAAAAATTATAGTTATGTTATTATAGAATGTTTAGAGGTTGGAATTTCAAGTTATGTATTTAACCAATATATGTAATATGAAGACTAAGTTGTTTTTTATTAAATTATACACACTACCAATCACTCAAAATAATGGATTATCAATCTCTACTAAATATGATATAGTTAACAACGAATTGTCTACCCAATTTTTGTTCTATCTTTGTCCCTCACAACTGTACATGGGCACCGGGCCGTGCCGCCCACGGGCTAGCACGGCACGGCACGGTTAGAGTACGGCACGAGCACGGGCACGAAATAAATGGGCCAGCCCGGCACGAGCACGAATAATTTATGGGCCGTGCCGGGCCTAAACTTCATGGGCACGGGCACGGTATATAAGTGGGCCGTGTCGGGCCTAATATATTCTAGACTTTATTGAGTATAAGAACGGACATGACACGAATATAATATTTATTTGATAGAAAATAAGTATAAATATTATTATTTGTTGTTGTTAGAAGTGTCATAAATATATATACGTAATTACTAACATAAGTAAAAAAGAACAAAGAATTAAACAAAGCCAAATCACACTCGCTATACTTCCAATTTTCTTTTCCCCCTATTTGTTACTTTTCTCAAACATTATCGGTTAATACTATCTTCCCCCGTCCAATTTTCACCTTCTTTTCCGTTCTCTCTTTTGTTTTTCGTCCTTTTCATTAAACACGAATACGAGCATGGCACGAACACGAATAGGCAGGCCACGATTCGAACCGTGCCCGGGCCTGGGCCGGGCCTGGGCCGGGCCTAGCAAAGTTGACAAATGGGCTTGCATGGCACGACACGAAAACTGACGGGCCGTGCCAAGCACGGCACGAAATAAATGGGCCCAAAGCGTGCCCGTGCCGTGCCGGCCCAAGCACGGCCCAGCGCCCATGTACACTCACAACTTTCCTTTATTCCAGTATTGCCCTCGTCTACAATTCATCTCTCCTCAATCCTCAAAGTCAAAATTCTAGATAATAGAAAAAGGAGAACAACTCCTCTGCTATGTTTGACGATGGTGGAGGCTTTCGATTTCGTCTCCGCTGGTGGTGGCATGGGCGATTCATTTTGCTCCTATCCCTCGCCTCTGTAGTCTGGATAATTTTCGTTAGTCAGAACAGTTCTCTCACTGTTCCTACTCAGAGTATGCGACACTGGAATCTCGCCGCCTTCGTCTGCTTGAGACCCAATCTCGTTTATAAAACTCCACCTGCTGCTTATATATGAGGGTTAATTGCACCATCTACCACTTAACTATTTGTTGCACGTTAACCACCTAAGTAATTTACGTTGCAACTAAACCATTTACGTTACCTTCCTGTTGCAACTAAACCATTTATGTCCATTGAACTAACGATCGGTGCCGAACGATAATTTTCCATGCCACGCGGGCTGCCACGTCAGCTCCTGCCACATCATTTCCGTCCACTAAATATAGCATGTTTATTATTCTTCTATTCCCAAAAACTTCCCCCCAAAAACCCTTCCAGACCCGTTTATTATTATTCTTTTCCCCAAAACCTTCCCCCAAAAAACCCTTCCAAAATCGCAAACCACCCTAACCAGAGACGTAAATCTCTTCCTCTCTTCTTGTTCTAACTCCAATCCTCTTCTATTCTCTTCTCTTCTCCAACGCGAAAGTTCGTCCTCCATTCTCCAATCTTCTTCTCTTATGCATTTTCATCTCTTGTTTACAACACTTGAATAGCATCAGCAGCAAATTGCAGCTGGAAAATGGCAGGAGAAGAAAAACCCAACAATCTTTAATTGCAAAACTCACCATATATTGGAATTTGGTCAGTTTTCCCTACTTCCCTAATGCTTGGACGCATTTTTAAAACTCAAACAACAAGAATACACGAGCTTGGAGTGGTTTAATCTGCATTTTTCACCCACTGATCAGCCGACAATGAAGATGAAAAAACATAGTCGAAAAACAGAGTAACAACCCGAGAAGTCAGAATTCACTCACCTATTGCTCCATCAGTCGACAACAAAGAAGAAGAAGAAGAAGAAGAAGAAGAAGAACATAGCCAAAGAAAGCTACGTCTGTCGTTTCGATTCCCTGCCAATAAGAAGCAACGAACCAGAGGAAGAACCATATAATTACAATTGCGACAGCCTGCGTAAGATAACAAACAGAGTATTGCGGCAGAGGGTAGAGATAACTTACCGTAACAACTTGAGCCAATATTTCTTCCTTCTTGTGGCGATAGTCTCACCAAGTAAGAGCTTGATGTTTTTGTTGTTGTTATGTGCAGGGAAGGGCTTCGACGTTTCAGCTCCTGCCTCCTGGAATGAACTTTGAAAGTTGCTGTAAACCTGCACCTATTGCTAATTGCAGGAATTGTTTGGGTTTTGTGGGCCCAAATATATTATGGCCCACATGTGACTCACCCTGCAGGAGCTGACGTGGCAGCCCGCGTGGCATGGAAAATTACCGTTCAGCACCTACCGTTAGTTCAGTGGACGAAAATGGTTTAGTTGCAACAGGAAGGTAACATAAATGATTTAGTTGCAACGTAAATTACTTAGGTGGTTAACGTGCAACAAATAGTTAAGTGGTAGATGGTGCAATTAACCCTTATATATGACATGTTTGTATCTCCCACAACTAGAACCACTACTCCATTGCCTCTTCTCAGCTCCATTCAAAAATGTCGGGTGTTGTCGTCGGGAACCGCCAAATTCGGGAAGCTACATCTGATGCACATCCAAAACTCAATTTGAGCCATCCAATCTTGTAATCGGCCGCCAATAGTAGCCTCAAGCAACAATGCCACCTTCTCCATATCGACAAGATCAAAGCTCCAAATCTGGCATGGGACTCCACCACCGCCCTATCTATGGTTTCGGGTTTTAAGCAGAGCTTCTCTTCACTCGAGGGAGACGACAAATATGAAGGAAGGAGAAACGAGATGAGTAAATGAAGGATAAATATGTCATTGATTCTAAAAATTGTGCTATTTTTTATTTATAACAAAAATACAATCTAAAACTCCAAACAATGTATTTTCCAAACTCATACATTTAATCAATGTATCAAATTATAATACACAAATTGATTACATGCATCAATTTAGAGAATCCCAACCTCCAAACCACCCCATAGAACACAATATATTGCGTGATTTTGTACGCCAACGATTCATCCGCCACCCACCCAAATTTTAAGGTTGACTAAAAAGATGATACCACCCACCATTTGTCCATATCCAACAAATACGTAATGAGTGAGTTATAAAAACCTCCAATGAATAGAACTCAACCTGTATTCTTAGGCGTTCGGGTTTTCGGGTTTCGGTTTTGCTTTAACCGAACCCGACAAGGAATTTTCGGGTTTCGGATAACCGGAACCCGCAAATCTTTAACGGGTTCGGATTTGGTTTCCGTGATTTTCGATTTCGGGTTTCGGTTCGGGTAACCGAACCTGACCCGAACTGACACCCCTACCTATGCTGTGAACAGTAAAGTAATATCTTCCAAAGCAGATTGCAAGCCATGCCCCAACTCCTTTGCCCGCTCATTTAATCAATTTTATATTAATAAAATATGTAAGGTTCTCAGCACAAGGTGCTAGCCAGTAAAAGTGAGAAGATTGGGGAAAAGTAAATATGGACACTCACCTGAATACAGAAGCTTAGAGATGATAAATTCTTTTTCCTTTAGTGCCGAGATGGCAACTCTATAATTTTCTCCAAAATCCAGCAGGTCCTTGGTAGTTCTTACTTTATCAAGATCCACCTGAAAATGGAATAATTATAATGACAGGAAGCAACATTCTGGCTGAAGTAGAGGCATTCAAAGATTCACATAAGAATTTACCTTACAATCCTTTAGTTCACTTCCCATTTCAAGTGTTCGTTCTTGCTCAAAGAAATAGAGCTCATGGAGCCCTATCCACTCGTTGAAGCCAGAGGGGAACAAGCTTAACTTTTCATTGGACTTCAACTCAATCTCGAATTGATCTTCTTAGTCCTTGCCTTCAAGAGATTGATAATGGTTCAAATAGATTAAGCTAATCAAATTAGACACTGCAATTAAGAAAGACAGATAAACAAATTGAGCAACAACAGTTCATTTTCGATAGAGGTGTACTTAAATGCAGAATATACCAGAAAAGCCTACCTCCTTTTCACTTTCTCCCAAAGGAAAACCTGTTCTTTCCCTGCCTGCTCAAAAATCTGCAGCAGTTTACCACACGGACAAAGACTATAATGTTAGGCTTTGTCAGAACCTTTTTGCTACACAAGAATGTCCGAACAACAGATTACATCATGAGCATCTTCTTTCATTTGATTGATCTCTACTCTCTGAGCCAAAAACTAGGTATATCTTCTCATAAAGGTTGACATAATTCTCCAATTGTTCTATTCCTTCCAGTTTCCTGTAGCTGAAACGATGGACTTAAGCAGTGATCACCAGCCTCTCAAAGCTGAAATACAGGAAATCCAGAAGATAGGACCCTTTTTATCCCCATTTCACAAAACTCCCCCAGATAAGAGTCGGTGGTTCATTTCCTTCAACATCTACTCAGCTCATCCATGTTCCCTGCCTAGTAAAAGTAGACCTGATGCAGGCAAGAGTATCCTCCCATGGGGCAAATCCTTTCTCATTCATCTCCCTGACCAATCTTTTCGCCTCAGCTTGGTAGGTCTTTCTTAGTGACTTGGGCAGTTGTGGTAGTCTAGATGAATTGCAACACCCGTTTATCAGTAAATTGTAGGTGGAAGAATTGGGAAGAACCTTTCTGCGTTGCATCTCATCCAGCAACTCCCTAGCCTGTTCCATCATTCCATTCTTGGAGAACTCTGCAATAAGCATATTGTAGGTGCCCGTTCTTGGGACAAAACCGTTTGCAACCATTTCACAGTAACTTCTTATAGCTTCCTTCTTATTTCCAATCTTCGTGTGGCCAATTATCAAAGTATCATATGTGGATGCATCGGGAGGTAAGCCCTTTTCCTTCATCTGGGTCACTAGTTTTTGTATGTCTTCCAGTAAACCAGCAGCTAGTAACCCACCCAAGAGGATATTGTAAGTTACTATATTTGGGGGAATTCCTTTATCTAACATCTGCTTATATGTTGCTGAAGCAGAATGGACATGACTGCCTTCACAATAACCTCGTATAAGGGCATTGTAAGTAATTGTATCTGGCAAGAAACCATCTCTAGTCATAGTTCTCAATACCCAATTTGCTTTCTTGGTCATTCCTAGCTTGCATAAGATGACAATAAGATTATTATAAACTTCTCGATTCACCTTGAGTCCCTTGCTGACAAGTTGCTGATGCATCTGAAAGATTTTGTCTGCCCTTCTGCTTTTTGCAGATGAGCATAGCAAAAACCTATGAGTATTTTGGTTAGGCTGTATTCCCATAATTCTCATATATTCCAGAATATCAGTCGCCTTTTCAGTATGTCCAGCTTCAGAGAGCCCCTGTACAAAGATGTTACAAGTGATTGAATTTGGCAGGATTCCAGAACTCATCATTTCTTCCCAGATCATAAAAGCATCTTCCACTTTCCCTTGCTTGCAGTATGCATTCATCATGGTGTTGTACGTGACGCAATCTGGTGCAAGGCCTACCTTCTCCATTCCAGAATAAACAGATTTAGCATCATATTTTCCAAGCCTCAACAGCCCATTCATCAACACGTTATAAGCAACAACATCAAACATTATACCTTTCTGTCTCATTTCTTCGGCAATCTCTAGAGCACCTGATTCATTTCCGGCCTTGAAGAAGCAATCCATCAAGGATGTGTAGTTAATGTGATCAATCAATAATCCATTAGAAGTCATCTTCTTAAGTAAGCATTCAGCTTCCTCTATCTTTCTCCCTCTTTTGGAGCCATTTACTAAAGCATCCAGTACGAAATTGTTCTGTTCTAATCCACTCAATTTAGCTTCCTCATAAAAGTCAAAAGCAACTTCATGTTTACCATCCCTGAAGTAACCATGAATTAGTATGGCATAGATATAAGCATTTGGAGCAATATTTTGTTCCAACATTCTCTTCATTGCATGAACAGCTTCACCCAACATGCCTTTCTTTACATATCCATTTATAATAGAAGCATAAGTTACGACAGTTGGATTGACATGCTTCTCTAGCATATCTTTCAATAAAGACTCTGCACCATCCATGTCTCCTAACTTGCAATGCCCATCAATCAATACTGTATAGGTAATGTTGTTCGGAGTAAGATTAAGCTTTGAAAGTGCGTAGTACATCTCTTCTGCTTCCTCGGGCTTACCAGACTTGAAGAGCCCATCTATGAGAGCAGTGCATACAACCAAGTCGAAGGTAAACCCACGGACGACCATCTGACTTTGGAACATAAATGCTTCCCATTCACTGCCAGCTTTAAACAATGAATCCATGAGATTAGTGTATACCACATGATTGGGATCCACATGCATCTCCTCCATCTCCTTCAAAATCTCTTTTGCTTCAGACGTTCTTCCACCCTTGCAAAGACCATTTAGGATGGAAGAATAGGTAACCAGATCAGGCAAGAAACCATTTACAACCATTTCCTTATATAATGCCAATGCTTCTTCAAGCCCATACTGCTTACAGTAAGCACTTATCAGCGTAGTGTGTGTAATACAGTTTGGTTCCAATACAATACTTTCTTCCTCACCATTCTTATCAGGCATTGATGCACAACCGACACGAGTATCTCTCCTTGACTGTAAGATTTCAGCGACTAAATCCCTTGCTTTCTCAAAATCACCTTGTTGGCAAAACCCACTGATCAATGTATTGTATGTAACAATGTCGGGCAACATACCATCTCTTTCCATCTCCTCTGTCAGCTGAAGAGCATAGCTACAATCTCCAACTTTGCAATACCCGTCAATCAATATATTAAAACCTACGACATCTTTACAAAGCCCTCCGTCAAACAAATTATACATAACCCATTCCCCATACTTGATCATCCCTATCGAGCAAAACCCTTTAATCATTGTATTGCAAGTAAAAGAATCAAAATCTACATCCTTCTTTAACATAACGGACAAAAGACCAAAAGCCTGATGCACTAGACCATGCTTGCAGAACCCCCAGATCACGGTGTTATACGTAACAGTGTCGGTCTCAATATCAACCTTCCTAAGCATCTCTAAAGCCGAACTCAAACTACCCATTTTACACCAGGCATGGGTCAGTATATTGCGAATGAAGAGATCGGGGGAAACCCCACAGGACAACATGTCGTCATAAACAACCTGTACCTGAGAGACCAACCCAGAGGCATTGAACTGGTAAATAAGCTGTTTCCACTGGGGCAAAACAGGAATCATACCTCGACTTCTCATGCCGTAGAAAGCCTCGGAAGCTCTGGACAATCTGCCGCAGGACAAGTAGAGGTGAATGAGAGTGCAGAAGAACGAGACGTAGAGATTGCTCCTTGAACACTGACCGTAGCTCGTCGCTACCGCCCTCGCCATAGCTGGTAATTTTTTACCAACTTCGCCGACGAGCTTTTCCTTGGTAGTGACAATTGAGCGAAGAAAGAAGTTGGCGGAGTAGGGTTGGAGACTTGTGAGCTTCCTGGAAGCCAGTAATCGGAACCCCATTATTTTCCTCCCTTCTCAGCAACCTTGTAAGAGCTGAACTCCAACCCGAGAAATGGTAGCGTTAAGAATTAGGAGTGGTCGGCCGGGCTGCATTTCCTGCTACTGGCTCCTTTTCTCCCTAATATTGGGCTTCTTTTTTCCTGGATTCTGATTTCTTAGCTAGGGTTTAAAAATTAAAATTGCGCGGGGCAGGTCAGGATGTAAGCCGGAGTAGTTGTCATTTTTTGGGTATTACGGCGGGGGGCATCGCGGTCGATAGTATAAGTGCTTTATGAACTCGATTGTTAACCCCAAATGCCTATTTCTGAAAAACATAATATAAGGATGTGAGTCAGTCGGAGCAGGAAGACCTGTATCATATTATCAGCATTAACGAATTGCACGTTAAAGTCAATCTCAATCACAATCTCTAAATAATTTCGGTATCCCAATCTCAATTCCTAAATATTTTGATATCCCAATCCGTATTCGGTATTCCAATCGGTATTATCGAACACGAAATTAATTACCTTTGCAATTAATAATTAAATATATAAATGAGATTTTATTGTTTAATTTAGGGGAAAAGGACTAAGCAAAGAGTTTTGAATTAGTATATTAATAAGGAGAATGGATGAGAGGAGACATCTCAAGTTCTTGTCATTTGTAATCTTTAATTTGACGAATTGGACGTTGAGAGACGACTATTAATAGTGACTAGCTTGAACCCTGCCCAAAGGGCAGGTAAATTTTTTTGAACTTTCAATTTAGGTGATTTCTCCATCTCATTTTTGTATAAATTATTTTGAGTTGAAATTTTTCAAGGAGAACTAAATTGTTTGTGGTAATTAATTCCATAAACTCGACCACAACAATTTTAGTAAACATTTTAACTTTTCATTTCAGACATAATAAATAAAGTTATAATTATATTATATAGAGTCTAAGTTGCAAGGTTGTCAAACCGGTTTATACCGTTGTGCCGGTTTGGCAAGTGGAATGGTACGACCGGTGGTATAACCAGCTTGAGCTGGTTCATGCCGGTTTAAAAAATGTGAAAACAATTAATATCCAATGTATTTAATTCTATATAAAACATATTTGTGGACAATTTAGTTACAATCCAACAAATAACATCAACTTTTAACTATTACATTCATAAAATGAATAATAAATTAATTTTTTTATTCATTAAATTCATTAAAATGATATCATTTTACTTATAATCCGTAAGTCGATCATACCGGTCATACCGGCGGTGTCATACCGGTTTCATTACCGGTACAGATTGAACTAGGTTCAACCGGGTGGCATGCCACCGGCATGACAACCATGCTAAGTTGTTACTAAAGTGCTAAAGAAATTTTAATATATATATAGATAAAAATGAAAAGTACTGAATAATCTTGTTTGATAGGGGGAAAAATCGAGCAATAAAATAATAAAATGTTACTATTGGAGACAAATAAAATAGCTAACCAATTTTTTTATGATGGATTGTCCAAGTTTTATATCACTATGAAAGATTTTTTTTTTAATCCGTAATCTCTCTCCCATAATTTTTTTCGGCGACTAATTATAAAAAAATTCATACTCTCCTATAATCTATCTCTCCCCTCTTTCTACCGTAAAAAGCACAACAAAAAAAAAGAATTCTATGGGCGGTTTTTAGGAGAGAGATTGTAGGCCTTGTTTTAGAGACTGATGACGTGGACGCACGGAATTTATTTTAGGCTGATGTGGCATAGGCTTAATTCTAAAACTGCTTTAATTTATTTTAAGATGGAATGATCTGTGTATAATTAAATGACACTCTTTGTGGTTGAGGGTCATGTAGTAGTGAATGAGAGAGTCTAGTTGAGAGGATAAAATATACACTAGCTTATATTTCGGTATTGATCGGTATTTTGGTATTACCGATCCCAATCCCGTAATCCCTAATACCGAATAACAATTGAAATTCAATCTAAATCCCAAGAAATAATACATGTATTTGGTAATACCAAATATAGACAAATTCGGTACGGTATTCGGTATATACCAAATACCGGTACCAAACTTCCAGCCCTAATCAGCATCGTACTTCTTTGGCTAGGTTGTGTCCTCTAATTTTTTTTTATATTAGATTAGTGGGTGGGTACATTGAGATGTGATTAATGATTGATATAGGTACTAGTCACGAGCTCGGCCAGTTGACCGGATTTAGTTGTCAATTACGCTAATATTAGTAACAATTTGTATTCAAGTTATGTATTATGAATTTTCAATTGCAGTAAAAAAAAACCTGTGTGCTCCGAAAAAACTGGAATCCTAGGGAAAGCATCGTCTTACGTCGATTGCTATGTCTGTTGTGCTTCTGGGGAGCGGCCTCCCAGCCATCCTAGGGGGACCGTACCTCAGGTGTGTGTCGCGCGGCCTTTGTTACGTCATCGCTGACGGGGAAGGGTGAGAAGAAAACTCAACATGCAAAGAAAAGGGCATAGCCGATGTTGGCGAACCCTCTGTTCGAACATGTTGCTATGGAGATCAACAAAAGCCTCGACTCCGAGGATAATAACCCTAAAATCATCAAATTACCAAATACATTACTTTATTTTTATTTAATGGATTAATAGGCATACAAACCCCTATACTATAGAAAGATAACAAATGAGTCTGTGTAGTGTAACACCCTGAGTTTGGGTTCAAGAAAACATTAAAGGGGGAACAGGCTAGAACACGACCGTGTTGCTAGACCGTGTTCGGGTAGGTGTGTCATTTTGATGCAGTAGGAAATGAATCAGCAGAGGATTGAACACGGTCGGTGAACACGCTCATGTCTCTAGACCGTGTTCAATTAAATGTTTTTAAAGAGCGAGGGTTGGTGGACGCATCGTTACAGCGAGAACCGAAGACGAAGCGTAACACGACATGGACACGTTCGTGTTGCAAGGTCGTGACACTTGGGTTTCGTAAAACATCGACGGACGATCAGAACGGGGCGCAAGGGATGGAGAGAACACAGGGAGGAAACACGATCGTGTCCCATGCCCGTGTTCAACCTACTATAAAAGAAATTAACTCTCTACTCTCTCTCCATTTACGTTTTTCCATCTCCCAAAGCCACCAAAATGCTCTGAACGAGTAGAATACGAAGGAAAGAGAGGAGAAGAGCAAGGAAGAAGGAGGAGGAAGAAACCACCGGATTATTCCCCCGTTCGTCGGCAAACCGAGATACCGATGAAAATCTCTCCTACTCGTCGTTCCTCTCAACTTCTAACCTGTCATACGCCGTAGTAGGGTAAGGAAATTCTTCCATAGTCGTTCCTACTTTCATTTATTCACTAGTAGTAACTTTGGATCGTTAAATATTGAAGTTGGAGGCTATTAAAGATCTTGTTAGAGAGTTGGATGAGTTAAGTCAAGGAGACCTCATTCAAATCGGGTCATTGGGTATCTAGGCACGTCCCTGAGGTAAGGAAACATGATTCCATTAGATTTAGATTGAGTTTCGTATGAGCTTTCTTGTATTTTTCAAATCCGGGGTTTTAGTGACGGATTTTCTAGGTTTCCGTGCGAACAGTAGTGGTCGCTAAAACATCAGGAATTTCCATAATAGTATTTTAAGTGATTTTTCTTAATTCGACATCCTTGTAGGGCCGGTAAAATTTGTGTAATAATTTTAGAAAATTGGAAGAAGGTCTATAGATGTCTAGGAATTTATTTGGAAATTTATAAAGCTAATTATTATTTTTAATAATTATTTAGGTACGTATATTATTTAAATAAAATTATATAAGGCGTTTTTGGAAAATTGTATAATTTTTCTAGGGATTAGTGCTTCTGAACTACTAGGGAAAATTATGAATTGGAACTTTGAAGAGGTATGACTTAGTTTAAAAATTAATGGAAGGTGAAATTATATAGAAAAAATGGATTTTTCTGGGGGGTTAAACTGGTGAGTTGACCGTCTAATAGCGTGGTATGATCTATAGGGTATCGAGATAGTACTTTGAAGAAGGAGTTTTTCGGGCTAATGGTTGGAGAATCGTCTTTTCGAGGTGATTGTAAAGGGGGTAAATTTTTTGTCGAGGTCTTTTTAGTTTATGTTTTTCGTTTCAAGTTAATGTTAGTTCACTTTCATGAGTTGCGCAATTATGTGTGTGAGGCATCCCACCTCCTTCTCAAGGTGGAGGCACGTGTTGTGCTATATATGTGAATGTATGTTGTAATGTATGGTTATTGCTAATTGGACCCCGGGAGGTTGGGCCACTACTGGACGTGATTGATGGTCGGATCACTGCTTGACGGTGAAACGTAATGCAACAGTTGATCGAGGATATTGGGTCTCTACTGAACGGTCATACGTAACGCAGTAGTTGACCGGCCATTGACTATATGGCGATATGTAACGCAGTACCATTGCCTTGAGAATAGGGACACCGGACAGCGATACGTAATGCATTGGACCCTAGTAAAAAGTAAATAAGTTAAGTAGATAAGTTAAAATAGAAGTAGAGAAATTTTACAAGCAATTAAGGACTAAAGTATTAAGGATGAAAGCGAGAACGACTTTCATGTAAGAGGAAGTAATTTTAAATAACATGTGTTAGTAAGGGTTAGGAAGTAACGACGAGACTGGCCCCTTCTCACTCACTAGGTGGAGGAAGGGTTAGCCGAAGTGGATCCCGAGAAGTAGCAAGGCGTGACGAGTAGCCGTATCAACATTGAGGAGAACTGAAGGAGCTCGTGAGAAGTCAGAGCTAGAATAATTTAATTACTTTGTTGCATGGTTAGGAGTATAAACTGGAGATTCTGGGTAAAGTTGCTTTTAAGTATTTGGATAGTGATTGCCCAAGTGTTAGGGCTTTTCATTTGAAATTTTTAAACATTGTTAGTTTATTTATTTCAAAAGGTGGTTTAGATTGCTCCGGAATAACCGGTTTTTGGTTCAAATTATGGTTTGATTTTTTTTTAAATATCGAGTTTTTTCATGTAGTATATTTTCAACGAAAGAAGCCCTTATATTATACTTGTATAAC